ATTTATTAAGTAATAAATATAAAATACAAATTTAAAAAATATACATAATAGAAGAATAAAAAAAAAATAAAATGCTATTAAATACTTCAGGATAGATGATATTTTTAGTAATAGTAAATTGAGTAATAGCAGTATCTGTGGAGTTTGGTAGAAGAACTTTTAAATTATGTCATGAAGTAACTCTTGAGCATGCAATGTAGAGTTGTCTATAGGAGAAAATGGGAGTTTGAAGATATAATCCAACATAATTTAAAGTCTGGCCCTGAGATTTATTGATCATAAGAGCAAATGTGGGTTGAACAAGGAATTGTCATCGCTTGAAAGGAAATAGTAAATCTAGTATCAAAGGAGAAAAGGTAAGTCGAGGAAGGAAAACACAGGTTCCAGAATGCTTTTCAGTAATTATTTCAGTATCAATAACATGTTTCAGGAAAGAACAACAGATCAATTTAGTCCTATTACAAAGACTATCCGAAGAATTGATATTTCATAATAATATAATCAGGGAACCTGTTTTTAAGATTAGTTTATGTGAAGGAAGACCTGTGATAGATAAAGAGTTAAGAAATTCAGTAGGATACAGATTGGCAGTTTCATTGTGGTCTTTAATTGTATCAGTGCTAAGATATTCGGTTGGATTTTCTGAAAATTGATTTATAATAGTAGAATTAATAGTATCAACTTGATCATTTTTAGAGGCAAGTATTGCGTGTTCTATAAAATAGTTAGAATCATAATTTAAGGAAATGTAGAATATACAGCTCGTATAAGGCTTTGCAAGTTTTGTGATTGTAATATGATATCTTTTGGAAGCTTAATAGTATCTGGTTCAGAAGTAACAGCGAAAAAATGACCTTCACTAATTTTAAGTAGCTATTTAGCAAATTCAGCTTGCTCATGTATATTAGAAGGATTGTTAGTATGAAGAAGGTGCATATTTGTTTTTAAGTGCAAAATTTCAACATGATTCCATAAATGGGATCGATGTAAACAGGAACCCACAATTTCTTCACGACTACCTTTTAATATTACAGAAAGAATTTGGCAAAAGTCACCCCCAAATACGACAACTTTACCTTTAAACAGACGATCTTCTAATGCTAGATTAATAGCCTTCATGAGATCTTTTAGTGATCTGTCAAGTGCTTTAGGAGTGTATCTATGGGCCATTGGAGCTTTATCCTAGACAATAAGGCTGGTGTTTTGTAAAAGTAAAGCTAATTCAGATCCTTGTAAAATAAAGCAAGTGGAGTCTTCATGTAAATTGATAGAGATCTTGAATTGAGAATGTGCTATGCAGCTACTAGGTAAAAGAAGAAAAGCAATGCCTGAAGATATGATGGCAGAAGCTATAAGTTTAGTTAGATGAACTTTTGCTAAGATAATACTATAGGGAAAAAAGTATGTATAAAGGTAGAAATGAGGAAAAATTAAAATTAAAAAAAAATTAAATATTTATTTATATAGAAAAGTTTTTCCAATTCTGCTTGGACCATCTATAAAGAAAACAGCAGGAGTTTAATTGTTGATGGCAGCAATTACTTTGTCATAAATGGTGCATTGTTCAGTATTTAATTGAGGGATTCCGATTTTGATTATGTGAGTTAGCTTTTCAATATTATAATTTTGTTTGTCTGTAATTATAGATGAATCGATAAAATTAGTTAGTAGAGGCATATTAGAAAAGTCAAAGAGAGTTTTTCTGTGCCTAGATAAAATAGATTATAAGTGAATTAAAGCTCTGTTTTGCAGGTCAGTATCAGTAAGTGTAGATTCATTAAGAAATCGAAAATCTTTAGTTAAATAATAAAAATACTTCTCTCAAAGAATTTCAGGCCTTAGAGGGTCACAAAACAGAAGTAATATAGCAAATAAAGTTCACAATTGATGTCCAGAGTGAATTTGTGCTGCTTCGGCTAAACATTGATCCTATTCATCATTACTTTGTAATAGACATAAAGCAGAGCAAGCTTCTTTAAAAGTAGTATAGAAAACACCATTTATAGTGCGAAGGTTTTCAAAAGAAGTTGCACCACAAATGACATTGAGAAGAAGTCAAAAATAATATCGTTCGCTAGCTGCTGGGTTTATGAAATACATTTGTCTAATTACATTTCTACGTTGCCTTGGCTTCCATTTATGTGCATGCTTGTTATAAACTCATTTAGTTGGAAAATCTCTATAGTTAAAGTTTCTTGCTTCAGGATATTCTGAGTTTGCATCGAACCATGCTATAAGGGTAGTTTTTTCAGTTTCAGCACGGTCAAACACATATTGCAAGCATTCATCATCAGTAAATATTATTCTATGTTGTCCAGGAAAATGAATTTGAAAAGGTATAACAGCTGAACTTCTGTCATGAAGACGATAATGCAGTAATCACCAAAAAGCTTCTAATGCAGAAATGTAGTGGGCATCAAGATAAAGACTTATTTCATCGTAATTTAAATTGCCATCCTGGGGTGGTCTTCTAATTTCAATAATAGCACAATCATGACCTTTATAAACGTATTTGAAAAGATACTTAACAGTGGTAATAGATGAACAGATTTCAATATTCATATGGCAATTAAATTTAGTAGAAAGATATGGGTTATATGGAATGACCCACCTATTGTCCAATGTAACTCTACGTAATTCTATAGTTCGGCCGTTTTCTCTTTGTCTATAGATAGGATAGCTGTCATTATTTAGCATAGTAGATTGCTGAAAGTGTTTGGGATATCTTTTAGAACATTTTTCATTTTTCATACAAGGAGAGCTTGGCATAAGTGCACCGTATGATCCATGTATCATCGATTGCTTGATAGTTTCGAAAGTAGTAAGATTAGTATATTTGTTAGAGATTTTAGCTGATACAATAGAATCATAATCATCAATGGTCTTAGGCTTATGTTTGTGTGCAAGAATAATGAGAATATGAGCATGAGGCAAGCCATGCTTTTGAAATTCTATGGTATATAGATAACCTAAGACAGTTCCAAATACTGATTCTTTTAAAATTTCTTTAAGAAGCGATTTTAATTTCATATTAAAAATACAAGAAATTAAATCAGGACGATCCTGTGCTGTTTGAACTTGAAGAAGAGCATTAGTAATTTCAGGCCATTGTGGATTACAAGTCATTGTGATAAACAAATCAGGCTTGCCAAGTATTCGCACAATTGCTATTGCATCTTGATAAAGTAGATGCATATAACAAGGTCCACCTGTAAAGGTCAACAGCAAAATTATATGTTGGCCAAGATTTGTTGTTCTAGTTATATTATCTCCAGCGAGTAATGCATCCTGTAATCCACTATATAATTCTGAGCATAGCTTTTTTTGATTATGCTTTAAATAATTAAGATGCATTTGTTTTACAATCACATACATATCAACTATCCATTGTTGAAAAAGCCGTCCAAATAGATGATGAACTATGGCTTCACCTAGTTAGCCAAGATAAATTTGATATGCATAATAATTTATTGCAGTAATATGTTTTGTATTATTTACATCATTATTCTCAATCGATACAGAAGATTTGTTGTATGACAGAACTTGATTAGTAGATATAGAATGATTAATAGGAATACTTGAATGCCAACCATCATCATCTCTGGGAAACATCAGGACATAATGCAAGGGTTCATAAGCTCGGTGAAGTTCAAATATTCTTTGTAATCCTCCATCATGCAGTTGTAGAATAATATCACGGTTCATAGGTTCAATTTCTTGTCCATTTCCAACCATGATGATGGCAACTTCTGAGGCAGTAGAAGTATTATATCATTAAGAATCATATGTCCTGTTGTCAGTAATGACCATTTTTTAATTTAGAGCAGGATTAGATATTAATATATCACTAGCTTGTTTAAATATTTGACTATACGGATTTATATTATATAATAATTGCTGAAGATTAATAAGAATTAAAGGATCAAGCTTTGGCATTATATTTAATCTGTTTTGAAGCTCATGCTCTGTATCATGAATATAAATTTAAGTGAACTGAGGGTAAATATTGTGATCAGGCAATAAAGTGCCTATACGATGATACATCTCATCATAAATATGAAAGCTGTAAGGACCACTTGTTCCTGTTATGCTTTGATCAATTTTTGCACCCATTGAAGTAAAGGCTAATGCAGAATTATACATTCTTATATTTTTCTTAAATAGGCATGCAGAAGGGTCTGTTCTAGTAAGAAGCATATTCAAAAGGGAAGGTAGTTCTTGAAGTGGTGGAAGAAGAACTTTGCCTTCAGCACAGCATATAGTAAAAACCAGAGAACATGTAAAAGACCCTGCCTTCTGTTCATCAATCTACAGAAAAGCTTCACAATTGCAACATCTACGATCCATACTTCCCAAATTGTGCTGTGCTACTCTACAGGAAGACCATGGATATATGCGTGCTTTTAATAGTTGTAACAAAATCATAACTGAAAAATTAAGTACTAGCGACTCAACTTGTATATCAACTACAGCTTTAGGAGTACTAATACAGGGATTCAAAGAAGAAGGAGTTAGAATGTTAAATGCTTCTTTACATATACTTACCTGCTCCTTTGATAGTATATATTCTTCAGTAGCGACTCTTTGTTTCCCTTTTCAAGTAGCATTTTGTTCTGACCATTCAACCTCGTTTCGGTTTCTTGTAGCTTCTCTTGCTCTAAATTCAGCTTGTTTAGAAGATTCAGTATTACAGGCTCTTTCACTACTGATATCTGATATTGTTGCAACTTGTGAACAATAATGTTGTTGTTATTTACGATTAAGTCTTTTACGACGTTCTTTAGGAGTTTCTGACACAATCTTATGAGACATTCTATCATAATACTAACTAAAAAAAATTGTAAGCAAAATAGGTGGCGATATATAAAAACTATAAAAAGCACGATCAACAGCTCAATAAAGAGATGCAAAAAAAAAAAAGTCAAAAAAAATTAAAAGCAATTGAGTATAGTACAGTATAGCTAGAAGTAATATGTGGACCACGTGTTTGGTGATATGCGAACATCTAAATTACCAAAAATTAAGAAGAAGCACATGGTAGATATTACACAACTTGTAATTAGATTATGCATACAATAAAAAAAATAGCATGTCTGTGAAAGGTTAAGCTACTACTTTCAATCACTGTCAGATTGTACGTATTCTTAGAGTATAAACTATTAAAAAAAAAAAACTTATAAAGAAATTCAAAAGCTGCTTCTAATATTAACTAAACAAATATTTATATAAAAATAAAAACTTTTAAAATTAATTACTTTAAGCAAAGCAAACAATATGTTATTTCTTTAACCATGCTATTGTTCAACAAATTCTTTCTTAAAAGATAAGTTTTTTTTACTTAATCCTACCTCTTTCAAATGAAGATGAGTCAAAGAACTGAATTCTTCTTTCATCTATATCATTTATTCATAAACTCATATTTTGAAGCACTTTTGATTGAATAGTCGCTACTAAAATTATTAAGACAAATAACCTGTGCTTTATTAAAAAATTGATTCTCTTTTATAGTAAGTCTTATTAGAAGTTAATATAGTATTTAAACTTTTAATTTGCACATTTTAATTATGTTAGATAAAAAAAAATTTAAGTTATAAAATGGCAAAAAAAATAAATATGATAAAATCAGTTTTATATATTCAACTTTAATTTTGTAATAATTAGTCTTTCAAATTACTAAAATTACTAATACAATAGTATTAGATTTTAAGGCAGTGAGTAAAATCTGTGGCTTAACCAGTTACAGATTACGATGTGAACAAAATTATTTATATATTGTAATCTAAATGGTACTTACGTGATCATAACGATTTTCGTAAAATAGAAAAAAAATATTTATATGTTGTAATTTAAACATTACTCACATGATCTCAATGATTTTCAGTAAATAGATATGAATTTTGAATAATATAAGATAATTATTTTATAAAAAGTAAGTTGAAGTAGTTGGTAGTAATAGTTTAAAAATGAGTTTAAAGTTCCTCTTTTGGCTAAGAAATCAGCTTAGTTATGAAATAAATTTGTATGTGATTTAATTTTTAGAAATTAATATTAAGATTTTTAAAAGTTTTAAAATGATTAATAAAAGAAATAATATCCTAATTTTTAATATATAGTTGTTTTAGAAAAGAGAAATGTTGCAGGTTTTTGATTGCTATTTGGTTGTTAAGATGAATTATAATAGTAATATTTAATAAAATAACTAAAAAAAGTAATAGAACTGCTTTAAGTTCAATGTGATTAGTATTAGTATATAATTTTGTGCTTGTGTTAAAATTAATATTGATATTTGTTTTACAAATTCAGTCTATGTCTAATTAATATTTAATGTTTGACAGTCTTTAATAAAGCCATCTGTATAAAAGATTAGATTGTTTAAGTTAGAGTTTCTAATCAAAAAATAGAGTTTGATTAATTACTTTTGATATAAAATTGATTTAACAGTTTGTTAAATAAATTATATTTCAGAAAAAGTTAGATTTACTGAAAGATGAGAAAAGAGTAAAGATTAAAAATAAGTGAGAGAATTTTATTATAATTAATTTGTAATAAGTTATTAATAAGTTTAAGTTAATTGTAAGAAATACTAATAAAATAAAGATTTGAGGTTATTGGAAATAAAATGAGAGTAATTATAGTAAATTCAAATAAATGATTATAAGGTTGGTAAAAGTTAGTTTATTAAAAGTAGGTTTGTTAAAAAAGAAAGTTTAGTTGATTATTACTGTAGAAGATTTTTTAAGAAAGGAGATGAGTTGAGATAAAAAAAAAAAGATTTATTGAGTTAATAAAAAAGTTTTTGAAAAGAAAAATTAAATAAGATCAGATTGTAGTAATATTGTTATTTTGGTTAAAGAAAAAGATTTGTATAAACTATGTTAGTTGACAGCCTTATGTAAGTTGGTTTGTTTGTAGATATATATTATTTTATAAAAGAAAGTATAAGTTGCCTGCTATTGTTATTTGTTCAAAAAACAGAATTTTGTTGTTTTTCAAACTTTGAATAATTAGATTAAATAATTTTAAAATATGTATTTTATATATTATATTGTAATTAGTAAAGATTTCTAATGAGGATAAAAAGTTTAAAAATAAGATATTGTGTTTTGCAAGTTGACAAAGATAAAAGATTAGTATAAAATTTTGTGTTTTTTAATAATGAGTATTAAGTATATTTATTGTAAGTTTAGATTGCCAAATTTTAAGAAGCCAAGCTTTAATATAAAGAGTGTTAATAGTATTAAGTAAAAGTATAAAGTTAAAAGTATATTCAATATTAAAAACACTTAGTTTTTGTATAATATTGTTAAGAATTAGTAGGTTAAAGGATAATAGATTAGTAAGAATAATATTGTTAGTATTTTTTGCTAATGTTAACATGTTTTTGAATTGAATAGTAAATATATAAAAGAGCTTAGTTTGAGTATTTTGATGAAGGTTGTCAACTCTCAAGTAGCAGATCTAGAGTTCAAATTTCAGTAATAGTAAAAATTTGCAATTCTTTCTGTGTTATAATTAACTGTTTTCTGTGATTAATTGGAATAAAACATCTGTAACCCATGTTATATCAGCATAACTGAAAGGTCTAGACATTTATGCAACATTGTATGAAGGAACACAACCAATACCAGATAGTATGAATCCAAGATGAGTCTTTAGGTTGCATAAATCACAAAAACCAGGTAAAAAAATAGAAGCCTACTTGGAAGATCTAAGTAAAGAGGTAACCCAAACCTTTAACAGTGCTACTATAAAGACTAGATCTATAAAATAAAGCTAGAACTTGTGAAACTAAAAAAAAGCCAGCCTTTAAAGAGGGACCAAATGAAACCAACCAGGCTGCCAGGATCTGTTCTGAAGAAAAAGGTTACATGCTGGCAAATATGTAAACCAAATGTATATAGTTATGATCTACCTTTCCAGACTATCTGGTTTAGAAGCTTAGTAGAACTTGAATTGAATACCAAAGTAGTAAAAATATATTATAAAATCAGTACTAAGATTGAAGTGAACTCTACAAGAGTATAGTAGTTTAATGATATGCCTTGATCATTAGTATTGGTCTTGACTATAGTGATACTAGATTAGCTGTAAGAATGAAATACAGAAGATTCTGAAAGGTTTAGTACAAGGTAAAAGATTCTCTATATGAATAAACTGCTTTAAAGACTTAGTGATTATGATATATTTTTACTGGCATTGGTCAGGATTATTGGTAGGCAGAGGTAGGTGGATGAATATGAAAACTAAAGTAGTTAAATAGAGAATCTACAACTAGTGTAGAACCTTTAAGCAGACTACTTAAATTAGACAATAACTAAAGTTGTATGAGTGGCTAGTTGTATACTCTTTTCATAGTTGCTTTTTATAGTTGTAATACAACTATTAACCAAATATACTATCAATAAAATTCTGGATCACAAGTACTTATCTTAATATTTTTTTAAAAAAAGAGTATATTGATAAATTAAAGTTATTTGTAATAAATATTCCAAAAAAGATTGAAAGATAAGATTGAAAGAGCTAAAAATTGTAAGAGTGTAATTTTTTTATATTTGATAAGGTTGAGAAAGTTTTTTAATTTTGTTAAGAATAGTATCAAGAGTTGGTTTTAAGAAGCCATTTCTATCATAAAATATGCCTAGGTATTAGATAATATTTTAACCTTTTCTAGAAAAAATAGTTTAATTATTAATAGTAAAAATAATTAAGAATGAAATAGATAGTTTGGTTTTAATATATAAAAGCTTTGATTTGGAAAGGTTTATTTTAATATTATTAAGTTTATAGAAAGCAGATGTAATATTAAGTATATTTTGTACTGTGAATGAGTTTTTATAATGCCAGATGGTATTGTTCATATAGGCTAATAGAGAAATAGTAATTAATTAAGATGAAATATTAAAAATAATATCAAGAGGTAATTGCACAGATATTTTAAGAAATTGATTTTTGTATTTTTGGTTTATAAAGAAAAGAATAAGGTTGTAATAGATTTTTTAAAGTAAGAAGATGTAGGTTTCTTCTTGCTTTATTTCAGATTTGATTTGAACTGATCAGATAAGGCCATAATCAGTAATAATTTTTGCAAGTCAAAAGGTATATAATTTTGTAATAAGGTTTATATTAGAAATTAAAATGCCAATTTGTTTATAGGCATTTTGAAGTCTTGTAATATTAATTTTATTAAAGGCTTTAGACATATCTTAAAATAATATTCAAGCTTCTTTGTTATTAGTTTTGTAGTACTTGATTGTATTATATAAAATTTAAATTAAAATATAGATAAAAGAGTTTTTAAAAGCAGCAAAGTTAAAATTAGAGAAAAGGTTATTAAAAGTAATAATTTTGTTTAGTCTAAATATAAAATATTTTTGTAAAAGTTTTTTTAAAAAATTCAATAATAAATATAAGACATACTTGAATAATTGTATAGTTCTAGTTTGATTTTTTAGAAATAAGAAAAATGTTAGAAGATTTCCATTTAGTAAAAACTTTTTGAAGTTGAAAACATTTGTTTAAGAAAAGTCTAAAGAGGTTTTGTGCTTTAAAGCTTGCATATTTAATATATTCATAGCAGATTTTTGAGAGCTCAGCAGCTTTTTAATTTAAAAAATTAGAAATAATCTTTTGTTATTTTTGTTGTATAATTTCTTAAATAAAATTTTAGTAATAACTTTTAAGTTCAAAGTATGGTTTATAAAGATCAAAGTTTTCACTAGTTGGTAAAATAGTTTTGAAAGATTTTAATTCAAAGTAGGTATTAAAATAAAAGTGAATTGTATTAAGTATTTTTTCATATTCAGTTAAAAGTAAGTTGTTGATTA